AACGGTCACTAGTATAATAGCGGTAGGGGTCGATCGGACAACACGTCGATGAATAAGTGGCGTAGTCATGGCAGTAGGTCTTTCTTCCTCCGTTTCAATTCTTAGACTGGGATTGTCAGCATTAGACCATTCGAGGTTTGACATGATAACCAGCCAAATGAAAAAGGAAACAACCAGACGTACATGACCCAACCAAAAGATACGTACGTATCCACCAACTATATAGACAAATCAACCTAAAAATTCCAAAGAGTTGGACACACACCTACCTATAAAGTAAAAACCAACCTCATTCCAAATTACAAAATTCCTTATATAAAAGACAGGCTAATTAAAGATGGGAGAGTCACAAAAATATTTCCTATAACCACCATCTAACAACCAATACCATAGGTTACACCAACAGAACAGTTTATCAACGATTTAAAGAGCATGACACAAGTCATCATAACAACTCTATGATTCCCGACTCCCTCACAATTCAGAACAAAACCGACTCAAAATCCCATAGCAAAAGTACAAGAAAGCTACAAAATATAAATGGATCGAACACCCTCCTAAACAAAAAAGAAGACTACACCAGTCCTACAATTTTCAAATTAATATACGACAGCGACATTGAAACAAACAAAACTGGAAACATAGCACCAAACCATCAGCAACAACAGAGATCAAATCACCGACCATAAACCAGGAGAGTCAAATTAACCTCAACCGTCGATCGGCCCAAATGCCGACATCCCTAAGTCTAGAAATGAAACTGAGGAAGAAAGACCATCCGCGATGATTCCGCCAAGTCTACATCGTCGCTGTCCGATTGACCCAACCGCAATACTTTTTTTTTTTTTTTTTTTTTTTTTTTTTTTAGGGAGAGGTGGGAAAATGCATTTATGCACACAGGTTGCTAGCCTGTAGTGTGGGACTCCAACGGGCTTAAGGCCCAGAGACTACCCACTAAAAACCTCCTCTACTCTTCGGACACTAGCCTGGGAACACTTGTCGCACTTCATCAGAACTAGGCCGAGTTTGCCTACGCCCGAGGGGCTTACGCCGTGTCTAGCCGTTTATTTCTTATCAAATCTAGACTATGTTCCGATCTAGATCATTCTTTTTAGCTTGAAGGACATTCCGGACAAAGTGCGACCAGCAGTCCCAGTTGTCCTCACCCTTCAGCAAGGTCTCACAGATCGATTCAATCGACAGCACCCCAAGATGTTGAATGGCCTCCTGGCGAAGCATATCCCATTGTGGACAGTGGAAAAAAGTGTGTTCCGCGTCGTCGGGAATGCATGGGCAGTAAATGCAGTCAGGTGAATTCGTTTTGGCCATCAAGTGCAGGTACGACTGAAAATAGCCGTGACCTGACAAGAACTGCGTGAGGTAATAGTCAACCTCACCGTGCCGCCGTTCTACCCACGGTTGGACCTGCCTGATGAGTCTGGCAGTCCAACGTCCTCGAGTCTCCCTTTCCCAGCTTTCTTGCCACATCTGAAAAGTGCGGGAGCGCTCTTCTGTTCTTGCAGCGTCCTTTCCAATGTAGCCTTGTCTCTGGTAGATTGCCTTCCTCTCCGCTGCCAAGAGTTTGACTGGGATAACTCCAGCGATCACCAAAACGGCCGGTTCGGACACCGTACGGTACGCGGAAGCGACCCTGAGTGCCGCCTGACGCTGCACTCGTGCGAGCCTCAACCTATACGCCTCCTTGTTAAGCGCGTCTGCCCACACCTCAGAGCCGTAGAGAAGCACGGACTGGACTGCAGACATCAGTAGTCTTCTACGGCTGGACCGGGGACCACCGACATTGGCCATAAGCCTACTAAGAGCAGCAACACTCCTAGCAGCCTTGTCCGCCGTACGGAAGATCTGGTCCCTCCAGCTCAGCTTGTTGTCCACCATGACACCAAGGTACTTGGCGGTTCGCGTGGTTTGGACAACTACGTTCCCAACTCGTAGCGGAACGATGGTTTCAATCCGTTTTTTCGTGAGGATGACGATCTCTGTCTTGCTCAGAGCGAGTGTCAGACCATGATCAGTCATCCAGGCGTTTACAACGCGCATGACTTGGTTCAGTTTCAGTTGGGCTAGCTCAACGTTGCGTGCAGCAATGAGGGCTGCGACGTCATCGGCGTACCCAACTAAAACGGTCTCCTCTGGCATCTCAGATCTCAGAAGGCTGTCGTAGGCAGCGTTCCACAAATCTGGGCCGAGTATCGAACCTTGCGCGGCACCGGAAGTAACATCCATCGTCCGCGAACCATCTTTAGTTTCGTAATTAAGAGTTCTGCAGCGCAGGTAGTCCTCGATCAGCCTCAACAGATATGCTGGTACGCGGAAGCTATTCCTCAACGCGCTCAACATATCGACCCATCTCGCCGAGTTAAAAGCATTCTTGACATCTAGCGTAACAAGAAGCACGATACGGCGAGAGTAATGATTGAAGCTCTCGGCACGCTCTACCGCTCTGTGTACCTCGGATATCGCGTCGATTGTTGACCGACCCTTTCTGAAGCCGTACTGACGAGGAGACAAATCTCCGGCAGCTTCCACGGCAGACGTCAGGCGGCAGCGGATCAGTTTCTCGAAGAGTTTTCCGGCCACATCCAACATACAGAGGGGTCTATAAGACGACGGCATATTCGGGTCACCTTTCCCCTTGCTGATTAGCACAAGCCTAGCCCTTTTCCAAGGAGTTGGGAAAACCCCTTCGCACAGGCATGTGTTGTACCACAACAACCGCAATACTAGTGACCATGTGTGTAAATATTATTATAAATATAAATTAGTGTTAGTGTAGTAATAAGAAGATGAATTCAAGAAGACACCTGAAGATAAAACACAAGGTGGAGAAATTCATGGGGTGATAAAACTCTCTTACCTAGAAGAACTCGGGCAACTACAACAAAGGTAAATCTAATACGTATAATTCAAGTTCATGAATCTGGGATGGCAAAAGATATTTAAAATATATCATTTACCTTGTAAAATGTATTTCCTATTTCAAACCTTAAGTTTAGTGAGTGCTTAGGTTTGCTGCTACAGGACAGTAAAGTGTGTTTTTAGTGAAACACTAAAAGTTGAGTACGAAATAAATCAATTTGCCATAAAAGAAAATTACTTAAGATTATTTATTATTTTTAAAATAACTTGGACATTTCAGATTTACCGTTTTTCTCTGGAACCATATAAAGTACAGTTTAATCTACTAAATCATCATTTGAGTTTCTAAGCTTTACAAAAATGTTTGAAAAACAATTCAAACATTTTATGTTCTAGGAATGAAAAAGAAAAACCAATTTTTACCGCGGCTCCCTAGAACTCCGTCCTCATAGCCTAAGCATGCTGATTGGCAAACTCATTTGAATAAACGTAAGGTTTACTAAATGTTTACATCAAATATGATCAAAATCGGGTTACAGTTACTCAAGTTATCGGTTATCATCCTAATGGAATGAATGCATTTCAACGGATGGTGTTTTTGTTCTCTGGGAACATCAAAACGAATAAGTCAACCTGTCCCAGGTCCGGATATTACGGTAATAGCTTATCCCCTATATTGGAAAACGGAAATTTGGCAACAGTCGGAAAAGATATACTTAATGGGTGAGTTTGAGCGCATCAGTTTATATTTTGAAAGCTATCTGTTCCCTCTGTGAAGAACACACACACCGCAGGAGCTTTCACCGGACTCCTGTGCATGGCTAGTCTACTAAGTCCCTTTTGTATCAACTTGATTAAAAACTTGATTGTTTTAAAAACAGTCATACATAAATACACTATAACACAAAAAACTAAAGTACTGTATTATACATTGTAAGTATATGTGCTACATGAGACCGTAAAAATGATTATTTTACATAAAAAGACATGGGTAACCCAAAACTACTCGTGTAACAACTTACACAAAATAAAAATAATAAAACAAACATAATGGAGTGCTCCGGTTCAGTAGCCAGGGTTAGAGAGCCGGCTATTCTCTAAACAAGGCCAATCTATGCTTACGCCAGTTATTTCCCTAAACATTTTACTTATTGTTTATACTTTACCTCTCAGAGCTCTAACTGGGAATAGAGGAGACTACGATCCAGTCTTGTTATATTGGGTGGGTTAGGAAAGGGTATTGGGAGTTAGTGAGGCACAGCGCTGTATTAACCTTTTCGTAGCTCCTCCATTCCAGCCCTACATCTGGGAATTTTTCCGATTCTATTTAACTAAGTCTAGCACCAAAATATTGTTACAAACAAAAAAACGGAACACTTTAGCTGTGCAAACGATGTTAGAGTATAGCATATTTGTTATACCCTTACATAAATTGACAACACAGTACCAAACAATAATCCAATAAAAACAATAATCACATCAGAATAGTCCGTTTACAAAATGCAGGCGGTTTAAGGGGAAGTTTTTCTGGGCTTCCCCACCACTTTTCTCTTAATGTATGTTACAGCTGATTAAGCGGTTGAGCTTATTGACATCTGTCCTGCTATTTGTTTCTGTTGTAATAATAATAACAATAATCATCCTTCTTCACGATCTAGTCATCCTAATGAAGAAATTGGAACAAAGTTTGAAAGACTAGTGAAACCTATAAAAAGATATGAGTGAAACTGAAAGGGAGAGATGTTGTAATAATAAGCAGATGTTAGAATTACAATCTGTTTGCTTGTTTACTTTTCTGTGTACTTTTCAATGTATTTAACAGATTGGAAGAAAGGCTTGTACAAGATATGAAACTGACTGGCATTTTATGAATGGACTTTGAATTGGACTCTATCTATAGCTGCAAACAAGCCTACTGAGGCGTTTGAAGCTTTCTATGAAATGTATTTTGTTTATAATCTTTTGTTGCATGAATAAATAAATAAATAATAAATACACTTTTATACTTTTAATGTTCATTCATTGTAATTTTATCTCAGTTAAAAATATACTTTTTCATCAAGTCAAGTCTAATGAATTTTTAATAGGTAATTAAATTTAAAGAACCCCTATAACCACCAAAATTTTGTAAACGGAGTTTAATACAAAAAAAGATTAGAAATATACAGAGCATGTGCCAATTCTTCGCTTTCCAAAGTCGTTCAGAGTGGCGAGTCGGTCTGCACAGCTTGTACTGTTCCTGTGACGGCGACACAGAGCAGGTCCATGTCGGCAACTAGTACTCTCCCTCCATCTTATCAGAAGAAAGACAACATCATCACTAGTATCAGGGACATACTACCTGATACTTTGGATACTTTGAATACTGATAAGTCGCTCATAATACATACTATATAATACATACTACTCTGATATTAGGACCTGGGACCTAATTAATTGTATATAGTCTCTTTCAATGAATATTCTTTTCATTTTTATGGTAGCCTATAGCCTCTGTATAAAAGAATATTACAATAAAAGGTTTAAATTACCTGTGTCCGTCAAGTGGTCCTGGTTTGTAGTTAATTGACTACAGCCGTTTCGTGTTGTAAAAACACATCTTCAGGTCAAATGTACATTGATTTATTCCATGGAATGGTCGTCGTAAGGTTTAAAGTTCACAAAAATAACACATACACATACACAAAACATTAAACATAAATTGGCCAAAACAAAAAAATACGAAAAACGGGTAATAGACATCGGACACGTTCGGTGCCGGTAGAAGGTAGGTAGGTCATAGGCGTTTTCGTACTTTTTGTATTGGCCAATTTATGTTTAATGTTTTGTGTACGTGTATGTGTTATTTCTGTGAACTTTAAACCTTATGACGACCATGGAATAAATCAATGTACGTTTGAACTGAAGATAGGTTTTTACAACACGAAACGGCTGTAGTCAATTAACTACAAACGTGACGGATACAGGTAATTTAAACCTTTTATTGTAATATTTTTTTACATTCATTAAACTTCAGGCCACAGCCTTGAAGTGGCACCGCAAATAGGGTTCTAATCTAACAGCTGTTTTGTTTTAAAGCAGCTGGTATTTGTGTATTTTTTAAAAACACAAAAGCTTGGTAACTGGGGCCACTAAAATATTGACTCCACTCTAAATGCACTGTTAGAAATATATTTTCAATTCTACTTGTAACAAGAAGATTGTTCTTGAACCTCATACTGGAAAGAGATCAGCTCAATATGGTAAGAACTAAAAAAAGCTTAAGACACCTTTTAAAGTGTATTTATCAACTATTTATTTCTTTGTTTCAGATAGTAAATAAGTGTATGATAGTTACCTCAAGGGACAAAAGTGTTCAAGGAGCCTGACGTGGGGCAGGGTACAGCTGCTTTAAATCCCATGCTACGCTTTTGGTACGATTGGCAGACACCAGCACACCATGGTGATATACCTGCAGCAAGGAACATCAAGGGGTTTAAAGGTTTAAAAGGATTAACACAATTACAATTAATTATATACGTTTCTTGTGAAATCAACCAAGTCTAGAAAATCTATAATTTGATCTTATTTAATTGTTAGTTTATTTTTCCAATTTATACATCGGTTATTTACGTACAATTGCATGTTTACTGTTTTTTACTGTATTTTTATCGGGTCAATGACCAGTTGCTCGGTAGCTGTGGACGAGTGAGTGTGTGTTGTGAAATATATTAAGAGTGGTCCTGTATCAAAAATAGTAAAACAATGAATCTGTTACCTGTGGTTGCAATGTGGTGCAGAATTAGGCAGCGTAGGATTGAGAGGAAGTACTGGATTCAACCCAATTAATCAAGTTATTAATTGATTAAAAACCCTAATAATAATAAATAATAACTAATAAATGTTTTTTTCTTTACCCTCCAATTGTTCAAAAACCTCTCTCAGAGCAGAGCTAACTAGTTTCCACACTTCTTTCATTTAATTTCTGTCCTTATAATAGTTTAAAGTTGTATCCCACAGTACTGGGTTTGCTTCCACTAATTCAATCAAAACATCATTGTCAATTATTTTTTCAGTTGCTATTTTTGATCTACACGATGATTAATATTTGATGCCATTGTCACTCACAACTGTCACTATTCACTTCAAAAAACAAACGCAGTATGCAAAGTGCACAGAGAGAAGGTGCAACGAGAACTAGGACTAATGGGGAGAACGCACGACATCTGACAAAAAAATTGTGGTGTGGGTGAGCACCCATTTAATCATGTACGCCCTTGCAAGCACGACAGTCGGGTGAGAGTCGCGGATCATAGTTTCAGTGGACAAATGCACCACAAAAGAATGATGTGGTTGTTAGATAGGATAGGATTGGTTTACTAACCGGAATGTGCAGGACCGATATTAGGAGCAAGACAATTCGCTTTTTTGGGGGGCGACATAAAATTTTAAATGAAAAAAATAGTGATTGTAGTGAATTCTGACTATTTTCCTTGGCTATGTAGACATTATTATTGTCTTCCATTATCCGATTATCAACTTCTCTCTCAATCGCGGCAAAACAGATTAAATCAGTGAAATTAATTTATAAAAAAAAAAATAGATGGGCCCCCTCCTAGGCCTAGGCCCCCGCAACTGCTGTTTCCGCTGTTAGGGAAATACAGCCCTGAGTATTTATGTAGTTTGGAATTTTGCTTTACCACTGACAAGATATTCTTCTTGAACCTCATTTGGGAAACAGATCAGCTCAATATAGCAAGAACCTTAAACAAATTAAGAGACCTTTTAAAGTGTCTATGTATTTAACAACTATTAATTTCTTTGTTTTAAATAGTAAATCATTTGTAAGATAATTACCTTAAGGGACGAAACTGTTCAAGGAGCCTGACGTGGCCGACGTGGGGCAGAATTTACAGCTGAGTTAAATTCCATGCTACGCTTTTGGTACGATTGGCAGACAGCAGCACACCACGGTGATATTCCTGCAACAAGGCACATCAAGGGGTTAAAAGGATTAAAGGATTAACACAATTATGATTAAATATATACGTTTCTTGTAAAATCAACAAAGTCTAGAATTTAATTTATCATATCTTCGATATATATAGAATTTACTGATTATTCTGGACAAACGCCAGTACTCAGTTAGGTAATATAAATCTATCATGAGATCTATTTTATTTGTTAGTTTATTTTTCCAAATTATACATCGGTTTATTAACATACTATTGCATGTTTACTGTTTAGTAACGCTGATCTGTAAATCCATTGTGTATCTTCATAGACTAAAATAATTAAATATAAACTGTCAGCCGAGCTGCGGTTACCATAGGTTATGGCACACGCCACTGGGAGCGCTGTGTAGTTACGTAGCATTAACGTCGTAACGTAAATCCATTGAGTATCGTATTCTTATCAATTTAAACATTTAGTTATAAGATATGTAAAAAATTACCTGCAAATGATAAAAAAGACAGCTGATGTTAACATCTTCTTGAAGCGGGAAGTTCATACTTGGAAGTAGTTGAATTACTTGCTGTGAGATTTTCTCAGGAAAGTTCACCCGCTACAATCGGAGAGATCTGAAACAGGATCAACAAACTATTAAAAGTAATCCTATCTGGACCAAAACTTACTTCTATTTACCTGTGTTGTGTGATGCAGCTTTAGTGGAATTGGTTAAAATCAACATTTGTCACTTCAAAAATTCCAATCTCTTGAGGGAAAAATTCCTAATCCTAAAGGGACAGTTTAATAGTTGGCAGTTCTTTTTCTTAATTTTAAATATGGAATAGCTTGACCTAAAATCTTATTTGCTGACATCCATTTTTTTCCATTAAACCTGTAGTAAACTCGCTTGGATACTTGAAATATTCTATGAGTTGAGATCTCTGCCATCTACTTATACTAAGGTTGTATCATTATTGTTTCTATTTGGTAGAGTAGATAAGATACTTACTTAGGTAGTCGAATACAGCTCTGGCGATGCCTTTATGGAAGCTAGCAGGATGAAGAGAAGAAAAGTAAGGAAATCATGTCAGTGGGTTGGAAAGAGGTTTAAGGGATACTTTGGATAAAGGACACCCGTAGTAGGGAGAGGAGGTCCAGACACAATTATTTTTATCTACCTCTTCGCTCTACCCACAAGCGCTCCCTCGGCCATGTTCAGGTGGAGGGCCTCCTGTTTCTACCACATAATATTACCGTACTGTGGTAGGGCCGTAACACAAGCTTAAGGTGTAAATTAATAATCAAAAACTGTTTTCAAAACTCCCAAAAAAATTTTGAATTTTATTAAATATATTGAACGATATGAGTTTTGAAATAATTTGAGGGCCGAAGCCCATTTATCCCTCCATGCCACCCCTGGTAAGGATCTTAGAAGTTTAATCATGCAAAACATCCCATAGGAATCTATTTTTTGGTCAATTGATGTCCCCATCCGCTTAAGGTGTAAATAATTCCCTACTTACTGGCTTTGCCTAAGTAGATGAGAGTTATATTACGGCTTTTCATGGTTAAACTTCTTAAACTTTTACCAGGCTACTGAAAAATGACTTAATAAATAACTTAATACACAAAATATATGTATATCCTACAATTATTCCCTAACTTAAAGAAGGCGTATTAATAACACCTAGTTAAAGGAAAACAATATCTAATACCTAATAAATATATATATGTACAGTATGCAACATTTGAGGAATCAATATAATTGGAATTTACAAAAAACTACACAACTTACCACTGTATTTTTATTCGTGATTTTCATGCTCTTCTTCTTCATCTGGTTCTTTTAACTAATATTAACAGTCAACTCAAACTATCCAACTTTATGACTCATATCTGAAATCGCGTCAAATCAACGTTCATCACTATGTTCGTGCAACAATATCAAATTGGAATTTATGAAAAACTACACAATTTACCACTGTATTTTTATTCGTGATTTTCATGCTCTTTTTCTTCTTCTGGTTCTTTTAACTAATATTAACAATCAACTCAAATAACTATCCAACTTTATGACTCATATCTGAAATCGCGTCAAATCAAGGTTCATCACTATGTTTGTGCAACAATATCAGATGATTTGAAACTGGACATGGAAATGAATCCAAGTACACACACACAAAACAAACAAATAATTAAGCGTCTTGAATATGAAGATCTGCTCTCGAAGATGTCTCGTAGAGGATGGCCTAGCACTAACCTATCATAGCTATAAAGCCTTTGTGAGCTACTGTAATAATATCTTAATTATCTTCCTAACTCTCTATCTGATAAAAAGAACCTGAAAATCCCTATTCTGTCCTAAAGCCTATGGCTAATCTATTCATGAGATAATATAGTTAAACTTGACCTAACACTATATACTAAAAAAAACCTAAAATTTTTCAATCTGTTCTAAAAGCCTGTGGTTAACCTATTCATGAAAAAAATATAGTAAAATTTCACCTAACACTATCTAATAAATAAACCTGAAAATCCCTAATCTGTTCTAAAAGCCAATGGCTAATCAATTTATGACAAGATAAAGTAAAATTTCACCTAACACTGTATGATAAAAAAAAACCTAAAAATACCTGATCTAATAAAGTTTATAAATAAAATGAATTTAGTTATCTGTGATAACTCTAACCATCCCTAACCTCTTTGTATTAACCTAAAACTAAACGAAGGGGATTTCTTCAGTGAAGCGAAGACTCAATACGATGAATGATGGCAGAACACATAATGCACACAAAAGGAAGGTTCCTACCTTTGGTATGACAGAAACTCAAAACCTGCAAATAGCGAAGTCCAAGTGAGCAAATTTTGTGAGTTCAAGTCCGGCTTAAAGTTGTAATTCATTCTATGACGATCTTCTCCCCAAAGTTGATACCCACTTCAGTCGGAAAGATCTAAAACAGTTTCAAAGAAATGTTAAAATGAATCCTAACTAGACCGCCACTTATTTTAAATTACCTGTGTTTAATGATTCTAAACTTTTTGGTGGTCCCACAGTTATGGTTTGATTAGCCTTGTTATAGTATTAAAAACAAAGTAAAATATAATTGACGCTTCCACCATGTTCCATGTTTAGATTTGTTTGGACTCAGTTGCCAACAGCTATCGCTAATCCATAGAGGAGGGTTTGATTCCAAAACTGTCCTTATTAAATGTTCTATCAATATTTTCCAACAGGATATAGTATTTACAGGGCCGCATTTGGAATTTATAAAGCCCCTCTATATTCTGACTCTTTGAAGATTGGAACTGAAGAGTTTAAAAATACACGTGGTAATTATTTGGTGAGTCGGTGGCTCAGTTGGTAGCGTCGCGGACTTTGGGCCCAAGGCTGTAGCGTCTTGGGTTCGGATCCTGGTCACTGCCACAAACTTTTATCAGTACAGTTCACCTTTGTACTGTACCGGCTCACCCCTTGCTTTGCTGGATACGTTCCACGCACAGATCTGTAGTCTATTTGGACGGGCAAATGCAAGGTTAAAAGAGGCCGCCAACCTCTTTAAAAAAAAAGTAAAGTAAAAGTATTCAACTCGATGAATTTTCTTTTTTTTCTAACAATCCTATCGGTAATAAGACATAGGAATCTAGCTAATAGAGTCCATTAATTTGTAAATAATAATATTAGGGGCTTAGGTTGGGGCCAGACATTTTAATTTCTTTTGGGTTGAATAAAATGTTTGGACCTTTAGGCTTCGGATACTAATTAGGTACCGTAGGTAGTTTTGAAAAAAATTGGAATAAGTTTATGCAAAATCTGTAATCACAACCAAATTGCAAGCGTCTTCTGCGGTCACAGTAAAATCTTGGACATCCGCCGTGGTCACAGAGGAATCGTGAAGATCTCTACGTTCACGGCAAAATAGTGAACATCATGCGCGATCGCGGATATTTTACACAATGTTGTGATATTTAGACTTCGTGCAATACTCCCAAAATCGTGCATACACTATCTTCGTCTTCTGCGATCGCAGGAAAATAATCAATGTCGAATGTCTTCTTAAAAATAGTGAACATCTTGCGCGATCCTGGAGACATCATCTTCGTCTTCTGCGATCACATCGAAATCATGAATATCTCCTATGGAGATGATAACATCTTTTGCGAGTGGGGAAACATCATCTTCAACTCCTCCTATCGCGGCGAAATCCTAAACCACTTCTATGACCGAGGAGAAATGGTTAATATCTTGCGCAAGGGCAGAGACATCATCTGCATCTCCTTTGATCATGACGAAATCGTGATGATCTTCCTAGTTTGCGGGGTCACGATAAAATCATGGACATACTCCTGTGATAGCGGATGAATAGTGACGTCTCCTACATAATTGGCAAAATAGGGAAGATTGTTTGCTGTCGCGCAGATTTTATCAACATCTCCTGCTATAAATTTATTTAAAAAATACATATTCGGGGCCCACAGTGAGGCCCCTTCCTTGGACGAGGCCCTGGAAACCGCCATGTCTGCCGTTAGGGAAATACGGCCCTGAGTATTTATGTAATTTGGCGTTTTGCTGCACCACTGATAAGATTCTTCTTGAACGTAATATGGGAAACAGATCAGTTGAATATGGCAGGAACCTTAAAAAGCTTAAGATACCTTATAAAGTGTCTATGGATTTAACAACTAATTATTTCTTTGTTTCAGATAGTAAATCAAGTGTATGATAGTTACCTCAAGGGACAAAAGTGTTCGAGGAGCCTGACGTGGGGCAGGATCCAGCTGCGTTAAATCTCATGCTACGTTTTTGATTGGCAGACACCAGCACACCACTGTGATATTCCTGCAACAAGGAACATCAAGGGGTTTAAAGGTTTAAAAGGATTAACACAATTACAATTAATTATATACGTTTCTTGTGAAATCAACCAAGTCTAGAATATCTATCATTTGATCTTATTGAATTGTTAGTTTATTTTTCCAATTTATACATCGGTTTATTTACGTACAATTGCATGTTTACTGTTTTTTACTATATTTTTATCGGGTAAATGATCAGTTGCTTGGTAACTGTGGACGAGTGAGTGTGTGTTGTGCAATATATTAACAGTGGTTCTGTATCAAAAATAGTAAAACAATGAATCTGTTTACGTGTTGTTGCAATGTGGTGCAGAATTAGGCAGCGTAGGATTGAGCGGAAGTACTGGATTCACCCAATTAATCAATTTATTAATTGATTAAAAAACCTAATAATAACAAATAATAACTAATAAATGTTTTTTTCCTTTACCCTCCAATTGTTCAAAATCCTCTCTCAGAGCAGAGCAAACTAGTTTCCACATTTCTTTTGTTTAATTTCTGTCCTTATAATAGTTTAAAGTTTTATCCCACAGTACTGGGTTTGCTTCCACTAATTAAATCAAAACATCATTGTCAATTATCACTTAAGTTGCTATTTTCGATCCACACGATAATTCATTTGATGCCATTGTCACTCACAACCAACTGTCACTATTCACTTCAAAAAACAAACGCAGTATGCAAAGTGCACAGAGAGAAGGTGCAACGAGAACTAGGACTACTGGGGAGAACGCACGACATCCGACAAACAATTGTGGTGTGGGTGAGCACCCATTTAATCATGTACGCCCTTGCAAGCACGACAGTCGGGCGAGAGTCGCGGATCTCAGTTTTAGTGGACAAATGCACCACAACAGAATGATGTGGTTGTTAGACTGTAGTACAGTGGGCAAGCGCTCATAAGATCCATTGGTTTAGTAATTGGAATGTGCAGGGCCGATATTAGGTGCGAGGCAATTGGCTTTTTTGGGGGGCGGCAAAAAATTGTAAATAAAAAAAAAATAGTGATTGTATTTGCATGCGATTGTGGTAATCTTCTGATAATCCTCGCAGTCGTGCAGGCAAAATTCTCACTATTTTCCACGGCCGTGTAGACATCGTCTTCCATTATCATGGCAATATATGAAAAAATCCCGCCGTCTTGGGGAGATTATCATTGTCTACCGAGTATGAGGCAAAATTCAGATCTTTTCCCGCAGTTGTGTGGACATTACTATCGTCTTGCACGATAGCCGGGGAGGTCAAGTTCTTATCACCCCGTCGTCGCCGTGTAGAAATCATTATATCGTCGCCTACGGTCGTATGGACACGTGTGGACATATTAATTGCCTCCCGCGATTGCGG